TTTAATGGTGAAAAAAAAAGGAGTAAAGTTGGGGGTCACGTAACTCCCTGGGCCACCCCTTCGTCCGCCGTCCGCCCATGAAGGTAATAACACCATTTTAGTTCAATTTAATTTTGTGTTGCAAGTCTTATTTGCTCTTAGATTTTATAAAATTGAAAACAAATATCGTGTCACAATAAGAATTGTTATTTGAAAGCACTATATAAAAAAATAAAATCGTATACCATTATTTGTCGTACAAATATTACAATTCATTTTTATGGATTCACATATCTAATTTTAAATGTTTTTATGCTAATTACAAGAGTTGGATCGGTGCAATTGGTAAATTCGAATAACAGTTTCTTGAATGTTTACATTAGACAAAACATCCTTTTCAACCGAATGAGACCACTGGGAAATAATCAAATCCAACATAAGTAATCCAAAAACTTGAAACTCCACACAATGACACAATCCAACGTCAAAAATACCCAAAAATTCTCTATATATATAACCACCGTACACCAGTCTAAAACACCTTATTCACAAATTAATCAGCAAAAAAAATGAAGAACACTTTTTCTCCATTATCCTCGTCTTCTCTCTCCTTGTCTGCATTGCTCATTTCAGCAATGCAACCATACCCCGTGGCACTGTCGACATAAAGGCTCTCGCTTGTATCTCATTCGCCACCGGGAAAAGATGCAAAGCCGACAGCTCCATACTGCAGCGGGCTGCAACAGCTTTCACAGAGCGTCAAATTTGTTGATGAAAAAAAGGGTATTTGCCGGTGACTTGAGGCCGTCATTTAGAACTTCACCGGAGCTCAAGGCAAGTTCTCGAGCAAAATCCCCGATGCTTGCAAGATCGGAGTTGGCTTCCCTGTCACTATAGTATTAACACCAACTGTGAAACGTAAGACTGAATAAGGTAAATTGATATTCATTTTATATTTAATACTAGGTTTTTTTAATGAATCCAGATCTTTCAGAGGGACATACCGACTTACCTTCACATAATGTGAGATACAAATCTTTGAAGCGAAAGAATATACGAGATAACATGCATGAGATACCATCAAAAGAAAATAGTCGAAGGAGACGGAAGGGTGGATGGATTTTGGTATGCTTGACTCCTGGTACGCCACCCGACTCAGCCACTCCATCATCGTGAGTGATTTCATCGTGGGGCATACAGGGAGCCAGGCATATCCTAACTCACCTTTCCTTCATCCTCCAACCTCTTTCTTCATGTAGAGATAGAGAGAAAAATTAGAATATCTGAATATGTATGTGAGAAAAAGAGAGAGGGGATGTAGTGGCTTGGAGGAGGAGGAAGAAATATATAGGGGAAGGATAATTATTTACTTACCATGTATATAAAAGAATACACTATTACAAAACACAAATTTTGTAAATCAAATCCCAAAAAGATGATTCTGTAATTAAACGTAATCCACTGTCAGTCCAATCTTTAATTTCACATCTCATTCTTTCTTCATAATATCGTACAATGATAATTAGTCAGGTAAAATCTTAAAATATCTCCGTTGTCATTCCTTATTAGCGAAAACTAATTAAATCAAAATATTTGCGTACGTTTAATGGAAAATCTCTTTGTTTTTACCATTTGTGTGAAGGTCACCTAAATATTTTCTAATTGAGAGCATGAGGAATATAATGATTTGACGTCATCTTAATTTTTTTTGACTTGTCATCGATAATTCGGCCATAGGAGGCTTAATGACGTGACGTTATTTTGAACTTTCTTTAGCTATGAGTGTAAAACAAAGTAAAATTACGTTAAGAGTCTCCCACACAATCAAAACATCGTCAATACATTATACATTCTATGAATTGTAGTCTACGTGGTAGACATATAGGACTTCTTTACTTATGTAACACGATTTTAAACCTGTTGAAAGTTGTCATTTTTCTGTGTTGTCCAATAATTATCCTTTATCTAATCATATATAGCACTTTCTAGGCGTGCAGTTTTCAATGCTTCTGTGCAAGCTTTTTATTTGCTACTTTTTCTTTCATAATCGAAACAAAGAGAATTGCTTTTCAATTCCTAACAAAACTTTTGCCGGTTTGTGACCCAACAATCATCTTGTTTTTTCTCGTGTCTTACAATATCAAGAGACAAGTATCTATAATGTTGATTATCAAATTTACTCAAGGCCCTGTTTGAGAGAGATTAAATTTTTCTACAGTAAATCAATTCTCATTTTCAACCACACATTCTTCAATAAAATAATATTTTCCATCACATGAATAATTTTTTCTTCTTTTTCAACTACACATTTCCCATCATATCACTATTTTTATGTTATTTTTGTACTGAACTACTACACAGAAGAAAAAAGTTTATAATTTTTTTACACATAAAAAAGTTAAATGGACTTTGGGCAACCCTGGACTTCTCTATCTCCACTTTTTATCCAGCTCTGGATGCAGGATATGGAGACCCAACTTCCCGTCCAACCACAATTGTTGACAATATATCAGTGTTCAGAAAGCAAAGTATGCCATACATTTACAGGCCTGAGAATCTGTATTGTGTTGTCTTGTCCACGCACTCGATCCGCAAGATTAGATTCCATTATTATCAGTTTGTTTGGTGAGGTAAATTATATGAACATCAAACACTTTTAAAGAAGATAAAAAAGCTACAATATTGCGTTCTGTTCTGTTGAGTACTGCGTAAGAAAAATATACCTTTTTAGAATTATCCAGAAGATAAAAGATTCGGAATCCAATTTAAAGACAAACCTATATTGGAGTTCTCAGTACCAAACACGAATATACTTTTTCCACTTTTTACTCAACCTTACTTTGATTGGCTGGTAAACAGGCACTAAATTTTCTCACAATAATAAACATAAAACATGTGCCAAATGTTCCATTTTTTTTCTTTAAATTGAAATGATCTACTTACACTAAATTTGGTGTAAACCATTGGAGATAGTTTTGCACTAAATTTTACACCAAAATTTATTTAATTACAAATTATATTATTACAAAAATCGTTAAATTAGAAATTATATTTAATGAACTAAAATGTTGAATTTATTAATAATTTTTTTAAAAATAACATTAAACATAATACCGCAAATTATAAAAATTTGTAACTTTTGACTTTTTAATGAACAATTTTAATTTATTGTTGAAATATTATTACTTATTAATGATTATAATTTAAAAATAAAAATAACCATCATATTAAAATAATTATGAATCAATTAATATTTATTAATATTAAAATGTTAAATAAGGACATAAATGAAAGAAGGAATTTTATAGTGTGAACAAAAGTAAAATGAGGTTAAATGAAAAACTCATATTTGGTGTACCACCATTCATTAGGGCAACTCCAGCCCCTGCACCAAAACACCATTTTTCCTTATTTTGCACCAAATATGTGGTGCAATGTCACTCCAACCCAACACCAAATTTGATTAAAGTCATTTTTGCCTTTTTTTTTCATTTGGTGCACCAAATATGTGGTGTAATACATGTTTTTTGGACAAACATGTATTACATGATATAATGATTGCATGCATTATTATGCATAACATGATAATCGAGGACGAACATGATCTTAATGCACCAGTTCAAGATTGGGTGGAAGTGCCTCCTACAGAAGTTGAGTTGGTTGAAGACTAAAATCACAGTTTTCAAGAATATATTGCTCGTCATAGATAAATCAAGGATAAAAATGCTCACATTACATTTCAAAATGCATTAAATGGAGATTTGTGGGATGAATATACAGATTTCGATAATTAAATTACAACATTAGTTCGACTTTGTCATATCATAATTCATAATATCGGGATTCGAAATGTACTACGTTGTTTTTTAATAACATGATTTAATATTTTCTTAATTGTGGTATTTTTATTAATTGCACTACATTTTTTAAATTTATTAACGAATTTAATATTTTCGTCAATGAAACATAATTATTTATGTAGTAATTTATCTAGTAGTAAATTAAATAAATAAATTTTCAGATATATAAATTGTTAAAAAAAATGAAGAAAATGATTAAATGTTGTTCATTTGGTACGAGTTTTGATGTAATGGGTTGAAGATGATTTTTAGTTTGGTACAAAATGATATAAAACTTACCTCAAATTTTAGCGCAAGGTCAAAGATGGCCTTACACTATTTTTTACATTATATTTGAGTTCCTACTGAAGGAGATTTTATACCAAATTTAGTGTGTTACACCAAATATAAGGTACCACTGGAAATGCCATAAGAAGATAATATTGTTATTGACATTAGGCAAAATGAATTTTCCAGTCAAAGTGGTGACAATATCAACACCAAACCATGTTGCTTAGTCTACAAGATTAATTATTGTGGGTCATGATTGCAGATTTCTCATTAATTCATGGTCTACAAGATGATTTGACAATGGAACAATCAATATTTTTTTTATTTTTTTGGAAAAAAAGCAAAAGTAACTTTGGTGTTGGGATGATCATGGAGCAAACACGGTCCATTAAATCAAATAAAAGTTTTATTCGTTAAAAAAAAAAATCATATGATAATTAAGATATTACACTATTCATTGATCCTTGATAAATTATATTAATATTGGATATAAAATCTTACTCAAATCAAGTTAATTGATTACGTTTCAAGTTATGAATTTCATGTGTGTAAGTGATCAGGTTTACAAACTTACTGGAGTTTCCTTTCCTCATTAATTTAATAATGAATTTTTCCATTTCCAGATTTCTATTTTCTGCTTGAAACCATTACTAAATAGGTGACAACAAACTTTAACGACCATCTGAGAATGCAAGAGAGAACTCAAAAGTTCTGTATCGAAATTCCTTTGTCAGGTCAAAATTTTTCTAATTTGTACAAAGCCTAACTATGCTGGCCTTAGAAATATCAGTACACGAAGTGCCACAAATAGTTGCACAACGCGAGCCATTTGGAAAAGAATTGAAATAGGGAGAAGAGACCAAAGAATTTTGCTACCTAGAATCCAAAAAATTAGTTAGCTTTTTCGTGCTCCTTCGCCATTTCCTCTGTCAGTGTTGCAAGTGCTACTCTCCATTCGGGGCTACTCGACCCATTGCATAATATTCTATTCATTATCTCCATCTCCTGAGAATCAGCTTTCCTCAATAGTCTTCGCAATATGTACTGTATCTTATCATCAGATAAAGAATTACTGCTACCATCTATTCTGTCGTCTAGTTCAAGATTTATTTCATCATGCCTAGTTTCCACAGGGTGCTTTCTGGAAGTCAGAGAATCGCCAGAAGTGGATGGCAGCTTGTTCTTCCAGTATTCGGTGCACTGGTGAAGCGGATCAAGAGCCTCAATTGCCTGAATTTGTTTTTGTTAGCATGTAAGAAAGTAAATCCTATGAAATAAAACGTTTGAGAAACTAATGCAAACAAGAAATAATGTCAGAAGGAACAATAATTCACTTGAGAAACTACGAGTCACGACAGAAAAATTGTACAAAATTCCTGGCTAAAATGGGATCGAATTTAAGTCGAATTTAGTCATCCCAATAATTGAATAGCATTCTCAAGAGATTTTTATGCAGAGGTAATTGAACGGGGTAAAGTAAAAAAGGCTTTACTATTTATTCTAGAAACGGCGACTACCCAAGCCAATGACGAAAGTAAGAAGAGTTTCCAGCCAGGACTTAATTCAACAAACCTCACAGATGCAACTCAATCTTTTACACCGATGTACAACTTAAAAGAAAAACAACATATACAAACATGTTTGGAAACAATTGACATAATAAAGCTAATGTAGCTAGAGGTAAGGTTCTTACCCGAACGATGGATGGAGAAAGAAATCCGAACATTTCAAGACCATTGATGCTACTTGAAGGCATTAAGGGTGGCAGTCCTTGCTTCTCTGAGGATCTCTGTCTCTCTATTTCTTGATTAAGTCTCTGCAGCACCATTTCCCAGCATTTTTCCGGAGAAACGTTCGCAAAACTTTCATACGGATAATCCTCTAAAGTTACCTGATATTGGTATCTTGAAGTCAGAAACGTGTTTTACAAAGGTCATAATTCAGAGAAATTTCAGGCAAGCATTTTGAGAACAATTTATTCTTTAAAAAATTTAAGCATTAAGCATCCAGACTCCAGAATCTTTTATAGTTGATCCAGGACGAACATAATATTCTGCATTCTATTGTAAGATTACTTCAATTAATATTGCATATAAAATACTGCACTTTCTTGACAGGACAAAGAAGATGGTGAAAAAAGGGATCCCCGAAGACCCAACTTTTCAAAGATATGTGGGAGATTTCTTGGAAGTTTTTAAATGAATCTACTAGTACACAACTGTCGTTAGCATTTTCGTATAACCCTGTGTTCTGTTGAAAAGACAGAAGATGTATGTGCGCGCGCGTGTGTATATATATAAGAAAAATACCTTGAACACGGGTCCAAGTAGCCCAGCATCCAGGATTTCTGATACGTAGTTACTCGTAATCATTGGATTGTATACGTTAAAGAACTTAACGCGGCTTTTAAATCCTGCAACCATCCGAGTGAACATTTAAGGAAAAGGTCATTCCTTGGACAATCTCGAATTAGTATGAATATAAAACTACACATACCTTTGGGGAATATGGTCTCCTTGTTGTACCACAGCTTTCCATGAACAACAGATCCAAAATTAATAGGATCTACACAGAAGCTTAACTTCTGTTCAGAATCTGGATTGACCTCACAAATCCCGTTAAATGAGAAGTCCTTAGTTTCAGTTTTTAATGAGCTCGTCAGTGGAACACCAGAAGGTGGACTAGAAAAAAGATGAACCCCAAACAACTTAGTTCCAACAGGTTCAATACAGCTACCCGCATTCCTCGACTTTGGAGGACAACTGTTGTCTGAAGCAACATTGGATACAGTCGAACCACAATCACTCCCCAGTTGTATTACATACTGCTCTCTTTTTGCATCTAAATCCAAATTCATTTCTTGCATACCTTTTGATTCACAGATCCCACCAGCATTTATAATCTCATTTTTACAGCTATTAAAGGCTTGTTGCAACTTGCTTCTATGGTCATCAGAACACCCATCAAGATTCATATCAGTATGGCATTTCTGCCCTATCTTAGATTTATCCTCTAGGCAAGGAGATTCAGGTTTATCCTCATTTCTCAAGTTTTGATCACTAGAACTTGGGTTCCTGGTTACAGGTGACAACGTGCTAGGAATTTCCATTTTCTCAGGGATGTTAATTCCATCTCTATCTCTCACTTGAGAAGGTATCACATTCTCGAAATTATTACTAGCTAATGGAACCCATCCATTTTCCTTGGATACCCATAATTCTATAGCATCTATGCTCTCTTCCAATGCCTTGAGAAGCGTGCTTAATTCCTCCATAGTGTAGCGGAAAAGGACAGTTCTGTTGTGTGGTTCACAGGAACAGATGAGATTTGCATGTTTAAGACATGCAAACTGGTCCGAGGAACAACTGCAACAAGCTGCAGATAGGTGCAAATCATAGAAGCATGAAAAACATTCCCTCTCGACTTTCAGATCGAATTCTTTTTCCATCCTCTGAAAGCACGCGACTTCTGAAAGATTCCCTATCCTTTTCTCCTCTAGATGAACCCTTGTCTGTAATTTAAGAGAAAAATGAATGTCACAAATAACAATCTAAGACTAAACAAAATTGTGTCTGTAGATGCACAATCACATGTAAATGTGCATTAATGAATGTGTGGTACAATTATGCACACACTTAAATCAGTGCATTGGTCAACATATCAACTTATTTATGGGTTTCTACATCCATCAGTTTACCTTGATTGCCTTGGTAAGCATCCCATCTTTCCCACAGACACTTCTCCACCTCAAATTTTCTGGATTTTCTTTCTTCAGAACCGAGATTTCCCAAAGTGCCCTGACAGCTTCCCGAGCTGCAGCAAAAAGCAACTTATCGTGTGATAGAGATGTCTTTCGATGTTGTGCACTATAGAGTTCCACTGCATTTTGTCCATGCTGTAACCAATCGACAGGTGCCACATTTACAGCCTCCGCACAATTAAAGCCACAGTTAAATCCAGAGTGATAAGCTCTTGGAAAGGTAAGAACAAACTCCCCAGAATGCTGGACAGCTCGATACACCGGCACACCCTCTGACTTTAAAACCGAAGGAGACAACTGAGTGACCTGTCACGTACAATTAAAAAGTTAAAGCATACATGAACACAATTTATATCAAGCAGATAAAATAGCATTAAGTATCATAAATCACATACTGTTGTAACATGAAGAAAAAGTTCAAGAGGAATAGCATATTTTATTTTATTTTTTAAAATCAACAGCTACTGTTGTAACATGAAGAAAAAGTTCAAGAGGAATAGCATATTTTATTTTATTTTTTAAAATCAACAGCTACATTTGGTACAATACTGGAGTGGACTAAAACAATATTATAAACAAGTTTTTAGTTTCTTTTTTTTGTCAAATATTGTCCAGGACATTAATATAGAGTCCACCGACCAACGAGCCACAAGTGATTTTCTACTCTACCCTGATACGTCAGACCTATAAACTACATTTAACTTGTTCTGTGATGCAAATACTTTCACTACTAGAAAACTCCCTCCCTCAAGAAAATTGAGAGGCTAAAAATTTTATTTTTCAAACTATGGAAAACAAAATCGTTAGTGCACATAAAGTACTTCAATTGCTGTTCATCCCCATTGGACTTCATCTCCAAGTTTTGAATTCAGATGCACCAAATTGGGCACAATCATGCATAGGAAGAAAGTGATGGCTCAGGGACTAATCAAAAAGGTTAAAAAATTGTACTTACCAGTTCATGAAGTAAGTCGGGTTGTTCTTCAAACAGATCTGGCAAGTGCTTTCTCATTGTATCCTCCAGCGCAGAGGCATGACTTGTAGGCACTCCATACCAAACTTTTGGATCACCCCAGTGCAAATAGTTTAGTGAGTACAGATGGTGGTCTTCAACATGCTTTTCATAAAAATGCAAAATAAAAATACTTGCATCAGCTCCACGAACAATAATACTTTCTATTTGGAGTAAATGACAAACTAATGAATAAAGCATAAAAATGAATAGAAACCAATAAGCATTTCCAAGTTCTTGATCCCATGCCCAAAGTTTCTTCAGCAAAATTATTGTTTTTAAGGCTTTATAACTAAAAGTTTCGAATTGTATTCCTTAGTTGTATTTATTCAAGTACATATTTAAATAGAAATCTTCCAACAAAAACAAACGTCTGATATAATCTATATATCAAAAGAACTAGTTACATGATTCAGACTTTAAATTATAGAAGATGAACTAACATACCCAACAGAATGATGAGAAGCACATTCCAATGTAAAGCCAGGGTACAACCACACCAGAGATGTCGCACTCTTCAAAACGCAGAATAGAATCAGGCAAACGTGGGAGGTTATTCAGGTTCCAGCCTGATGTCACATATTGATCTATTTCAGTCTCCACTGATAATGATGACTCCTTAGGAAATCCACTCCCGAGCATTCCAGTTTCCAAATCAGCTCCATAGAATACCTATGTCAACATATAAAGTGGAATATAGCTCGTATAGTTATGAAAAAAATTCAGAAGAATATCAATATTATGATTTCACATGTTTCCATACCTCCACTTCATCTTCTGGTTTCTCAACAATCCGCCAGTACTCACCTTCAATATCTTCAACTGATGGCAACGATCTTTTCTCCTCTCCAGTCTCAATTGAACTTTTTTCTCTTTTGTCGTTAATTTTGAAGTAAGATTCTTTAAATTCATCCGCAAATTTCTGAAAATCCTCAAGTGTAAAGTCCGATCCTGATTGGAAACCAAACTTTTCTTCGGAGTCAGAAGCAGCATTTGATTCTGAATCTTCAGTACGGGCACGTCTCCTTGGCCTAGAACTAAATTGCCTCCTACGTTTTCTCTTCCGATGTCTTTTCTTTCTCATCGGCTCCCTATTTTGAAGTAAGTCAACTTTCTGGATTCGTGTAGAAAATTTAGCACATTCCCATGCATTCTTGTCTTTAAGGGGGCAAGGTGGACTCCACGATGGAGGAGGTACAATCCTACATATACCATATGCCTCGGCAATGGGCCGTATGCTCTCTATGTAACCAATTGTATCTTGAAATTCCTAAACAAGAAACGATATATTAAGAAACTTAAACATCGCTACAAGTAGAATTCAATTTCTATATCAGAACAAAAGGAATACCTCAACGGTTGGATGAAAGATGGGAGCTTCATCTACAATAGGCCTGCACGAATCAAAAGGATTCCATTTTGCTGATACCTGTTCCAAGAATAGAAAGGAGTAGGAACTAAAGTTATTACAAGATGCCATAACAGGCAAACAAATTGTTAAATAACCATGTATAAATAAATATATCAACCAATGTATGAAAAAGAAAAAGAAAAAATATGTGGAAGGAATATGTGGGAAATCCGGAAATCCAATAATCAAAACATCCCAAATAAGTACTGATTTACTGTTGGAAACATTCTGTGATCCAAAAAGCTCTTTCCGCACCTTTTCATTTCGTGGACTACCTGGACTCTCGTGAATGTTGTCACTTTTCTGAACATTTCTGGGAGGATGATCCTGCAAGAAAATTAGAGTAAATACTTGATCATATCACAAGATAATATTTTCCTCACTTTACTCATCACTAATGCGAATGTGAAAAAGAAAGACTTAAAGAATCATACAATTCATTAGATGTTGGGAAATTGATGTTATTCATCGCAGGCAGCCAAGAACAAGCAAAATAGTGCTATGTTCTCTTGGATTCTTGACAAGTAATATTAGTAATATTCACGAAAGATTTATTCTTCCATTTTCGTCTGTAAAGTACTTGCAGATAGCATGTACAATAACATGTCTTGGTTCTCATGAAACAATTGGGAAATGAAAATTTTACTTCATAAAAACACTAGGCTTCCAAAAACTCAAAAAGGTTTTCTTAACTTTTAACGCTTGTAATTGTAAGTGTGAACACAACTGCTTTCATAACTTAATATTGTTGAAAATATATGAGATTTACCAAAAATTATGGAGGAGTTTTACATTTAATTAAGCAGGAGTAAAGATGTCAGAAACAGAACCTCCAAACAACTAATTTCATTTGCTAAATACTCGTACAACTAGAAATGTAAATATTACACGTATATGATTACATCTCCTATTTATCACTACATATTTCTTTACACTATAATTTTTCATTTTGCAAGGTACTGTAAACAAATAGAGTTCATACATCAAGTTATATAGGTAAATGACAGAACAGAAATGGAATGGATGGAAATAACACCAAAGAATTCAGCATGTTTCACATAAAGCTTCAAAATGCATTCATTTACGACATATAAAGAATTCAGCATATCACAACTAGATCTTCAAACCTTTGATCTCATTATAATTTAATTCTGACTGGGAAGCATATGCAAGCAGTTCAACTTCTTGCTGAATGAAGACTCTTTGAGGAGCTGTCGTGTATTGCCGTTGGTCCTGCTGTGAAGTTGAATTGAATTGAATGAATTTGGCACAACAATATGTTAATAGTAATAAAAAGTAAGAGATAAGTAAAGACACAATTCATCCCCGGATAATGTGAAGTCAGCTAACAAAGCGAGACACTGTTAATAATTAGGATATTTAAGATCTCAAAGGCTTCGAACATGAAGTGAGAAGGAAAGTCATCGTTATGACCTTTCTCTTGCAACGATACACTCGAGGTTTTGAAGTCTTAAGAGTTACCGAATGGCTAGCCCTAAGAATGGAATTAAATGTACAAACTCCGACGAAACAAAATAAAGACTATTGTAACACGATTTGCAACTATGAAGCTTTGAATCATGCAATCCCCATTGTGGCAGTACACGTAATGGCAAAACACGAGTAATACATCGTTACAGATGAGCAAAACTTGCAAAAAAAAAATAGTGGAAATCGTTAAAATACAGATAACTATAAAAGATGATTTTGTTGGTGGGCCGGGGGGAAGAGATCTGCACGTGCAAGACAAAGAAACCTAGTATTTGATCTAAAAACATAAAATTGTTATCCCGTAAAAACCTAGGAAGGACATAAGAAAGCTAACCACTTTGATCTTAGAAAATCGGTAGCAAATGTGTTATATTCAATGAAGGAATTATGGAATCTACTATTATCCCTGAAAGAAGAATTTAATCGTCAAAAAGGGGATCCTATCAACTCGTTCCATCCCATGTTATATAACCAAATCAATACAAACAAAAATCAACAAAAGGCTTTAAAACTTTAAACAATTCTTGAAAACTAAATAAAACCTAAGTAGTAACTGCAAAAACTTCAACCTAACATGATCTTACAATAAACCAGAATCAAGAATCAGTTTCCACTTTCTCATTCAATGCTTCAAGAAAATAAACCAAAAATCAATCAATCCCATCACGAAAAACAGATAATTAATCAATTAAAGTATATTAATCAAAACCTCTACAAAAATAAAGACTATTATCAAACAAATCGCAGTAGTCAGTCACAGAATAATACCTTTAATCAGGGTGAAAAATCAGAACATGAAAACTAGGTAAATATAACCTGGTCAAAAAAGAAAAAAAGAAAGAAAACCTTAAATACCACAAGAAATCGGTCAATGAATTTATTGGTGGGACTTCAAAACAAGAACCGAAAAGACTTTCTTTTTCAATTATTTATGTTTATTAATATGAGATATTGAAAAGTTTTTCACGATGAAAAGCCAAAAGAGGAGATTGATTGATTACCTGTATGACGGTTAAAGAATCCCACATTGAAGTCAGTGTTGCTTTTGTTCTGATTGTTTTCAAACTAATATATACAAAATTTCTTATTCTTTTTGGAAAATATTTAAAATTCCTTAACTGTGTAGGATAAGGAGTCCCCGATAACGAGGAAGTTGGATCTCGGAGGGAGAGAGAAGGGGTGGCCGTGATTGTTTCTGTTTGCTTTAACATGTATGTATTTTTTGTGCATCTATAGAGTGCGGTATTTGTTGGAGAAATAAAAGGATTGTGCATATTTTAATTAATAAAATGATATATAGATAATTAAATAGCAAGTTATTAGAAAATATAAATATGGCATTTGAAAAGTCGCGTTGAAAGATGTTATCAAATTAATATGCTATTCAAGATGAAATTCATAGCAATATCATGACAATAAGTCAATCAAGTCATTGCATTGTCTAAAGATAATAAAATATTTTAATTATGAAACCAAATCATGATGGGACATAAATGGGAATGGCAAATTTTCCATTCCGCCCCACCCACCTCGACCCCTCGTATAGAAAGGGGACGGGATAGAACATGACAAGGAGTAGGACGGAACGAGAAATGGGGAATGAGATTTTCGTTCCGTTATCATTCGTACTACAAGTGTTAATAATCTAATTTTTTAATATGTCAATATATTAGTTCGTATGAAATAAAGATTTTATAAAGTTTTGAGATGATAACTTATAAAGTACTTTTTAATTTTTACAACATACGTATTAGATTGTCGATGTATATCTAATTACATATTTTGATTTCTCAAAAAATGAAGGATCAATTCAAGTAAAAAAATTGACTCATTTAGCCCATGTTTGATTGTCATTCTTTGAAAAAAAAAA